AGCTTGTCTGTACTGCGGGTCTTACTTCTCCATGTCCAAATCGAGCGAGTCTTGGTCGCGATGTGCTCTCCGCGATAAATGGGCGCACAATGCCTGTGCAGGGATTGATGAAGAAGACGAGTGCGTGTTCGTGTGCGAACGGTGCAGGGATAACTAGGCAGGCTGATGTCTTGTCCAGTTTCGCCATTGGTCGTACCTGCTAACGGGTCCACTAGGCTGTGCTCTTTTCGTGTCTTGCGTTCACAGTGACTAAGAAGTGGATTGATGAGAAGAACAAGTGAGCGCTGAGCGCACTTTGCTCGATGACTTGTGTATTTGAGACTCGATCGTTGTCGTCTCATTGTGTAACCGCCGGGCTGTGTTCCTCTAGTTATGTGTCTAAGCCATGCAGCAATGGCTTTCGCTTAATGCCAATCTGTAGTACACATCTGCTAGCCATTATAACTTTTATTCGTGGGATCATGCTAAGGAAACGAGTATGGAGTGGGATGGCTCGAACAAAATATGACAGCCCAAACTTAAGAAATATAGCTATTGGATGTCCAGATAAATACCTACTTACCTAGCAATGCATTTATTGACGCGTTTTCATTAAAGAATGATAACTTTGAACAGTCAATTCGCTTATTCAATCTCATCACTTGTCCGTTTTGCCCCGAATACTCTTCGTTTTGCCTCAGGCCAGGGGCAAAATGAAGAAAAAAACATTGCCTGATATTTAGAAGGATCACACTTTAACATGAAGAGATGTTAAACCAGCGCTTTTCTAAGAGATAGACAATTGATCAGCCTTTAATATCCACCGGCTAAAGACTTTCTGGACAGACTTATGGACTCGCCATATTAAAAAACCGTTAGGGTGTCCGTCTTGCCCCGCTTTCCCCTACATACATACATGGATATATAGATTCAAGATAAATATGTCATAGACATGTAGCTTAAGATGCTTGAACTCTAAGAACATATGCTGAGGGGGTTGTAAGCAGGCATGCAGAAAAACCAAGGCTGCATAAAAAGTCAAAACATAACCTTTAATACTACAGAAACCTAGTGTTTGCCCCCAAATATCTTCGTTTATTTCATATGATAGGAAAATATACCGCTATTTACGGCATGAAGCAGTTGTGTCCAGTGCGGTTTGAGGAAGATGATTGGTAAACCAGGTAAATCGGCATGCAAGTTAAAGGTAGAACAAGTAAACGAAACATAACTTGAATTCCCCAAAATGAGGGGGAGGTTGTTAACACTGCTAGCCCTCCACTTCGAACGGCGTTGGTATGGTCCCCTTGCCCCCCCCCCCCCCCCCTGTTCCTACGTCCATGTGGATCATTCTCTTCACATCTAGGACGTGCAGTAGCGACCCAAGTTGTTAAAAAATAACTTTCCAGGGTCCATCCAGATTAACGCAGGGAGGCGCTGAGATCCCGGACAAAAAGTCGAGTGGAAAACAAGTTTGCCGAAGAAATCGGGCGATTATTTTTCGAAAGAGACAGAAGATGCCAGGGATTATAAGTCGAATCGGAAAAATTCGAAGGACAAAAAAGTTCAAGGGGCTAAAAGTAGACCGGGATGTATTTGAAATCTGAAAAAGGCAAGGGCCACAAAGCGAAAAATAAAGTCTCAAAAACAAAAAGTCGGCAGGGATAAGAGTACATACTGATATGTCAAAAGACAGAACGTTGACAGAGATACATGAGAAGCCAGGTATGTAAAAACGCCAGCGGCCAAAACGATGAAAACAGAAAATTCATCAGCATCTGGCTCTTGACATGAGTGGGATATAAGACTGTGACCACGGGAAAGACAGATGGGACGGGATTGGACTGGACGGGACGGAACAGGAGCGAGCGGGACCGCACGAGATCAGTCACACCAGAAGGGACCGGGCGAGAGCAGCGAGATGAGACCTGATCGGATGGAACCGGACGGGAGCAGATAGGACCAGATGGGACGGGACGGGACCGAATCGAACGGCATCGGACAGGTGCACCACGCGTGACCGGACGCGGTCAGATGGCATCGGACGGCACCTGAAGTGGTCGAAAGAAACGGAACGAGAAAGAATGGAACCAGTTGGGAGCAGACGAGACCGGACAAAACTACACAGAACCGGACGCAACAGAACGAGATCAGACGGGTCTAGACGGGACATAATACTAACGGAAAAGACTACGATGTGCTACGATGTGCATGATGCTAACGGACTAGGCACGATGTGATCAGACCGATTTTAAGGTGGTTTTAAGGGAAAGCTGCTCCTAAGGGCCAAAATACGACTTTAAAATAAAGGCGTAAACTGAAACATCATCTGGCTCTCGGCGGCTGCGTGGCGGTGTTCGGCTCCGGCATCCCCTATGTTTTACGTCGGGGAGAGGGGGGTGGAGCGGGGTACATAGGGCGGCCGGAGGACAGAGGAGGTGTCTGTATGAACTTCTCATTATTCGGCAGTGGTGTAGTTTCGCAAAATGAGCTGGGGTAGGGGAAACAGGGCGGAGCCAGGAAAAATGACACACCCTACCTTCAAAACACCAATCATTTGATTTCTCCTCTTGCTAGACCCACCTTGTTCCCAAAGTTGAGAAAGGGGCTCCAGTCTTCCCCTTATCCAACTGAAAAGGTAACTACATACATGTGTTTGGCATTATGAGTTCCGAGTAATCAAACTTTGATACACCAGGAGGTACGGTTGAACGGCGCTATGGAGCAGAAAATCATTATACTGACAGTGCCCGGTGTTTCAAGCTGTATTTATCACAGCGGGCGTGTCATCATAAGCACCCAGGATTGTCTCGTGGACTTTTTGCCCGCTTTTGGCCGTTTGGATTTTTCGTCTTTAAGATTGCTTTGCTTATTCCTGTCAACATTAATCTTTGTCCTCAGCCCTTTCATGTTTTTGATTATACTTTTTTTCTGATACGACTTTCATCCCTGTCGACTGTTTGTCCTTTGTTTATTTTTTTCTTCGCATTCGGATTTATCTTTTTCGATCATTTGTCGTTCGACTCGTATCCCAGGTTTAACTCTGTTGACATTTTACATTTCACTTTTATAAACACGCGCTCGGGTGGGGTGTCAAATTGACCCCCCCCAAGGTTTTTCCAGAATGGTTTCCGAACGGCGCGGCGTAGCTGCGCCAAATTTTGCACAGCTCTAGACAATTGAAAGCTTGATTGACAATTAATCGTTTGACATAAGAAAATTTAGATGTACCTTGTAAGGTCGCTGATCTATGGCAGGTCAAAGTCAGGCCATGGTTTCAGCGGAGACAATTTCTAGAGAATCGTGCAATCTGATACAACAAGTGTTTGACCAAGCCATACACCTCTGAGATGCTTTCTTAGGTACCAGACATATTGAATGAGCAAATTACATTGACCTAAGGTCAGGTACGAAGGTCAGACCAAGGCCAAAGCCAACCTGATTTATTACTCAAGGGCTTGCTGTATGAAATAGTTTCTGGTACTCATTTCAAATCTGTTGACAGCAGAAACCGCATTATGCATCTTCCACTGACTTCTTGGAGATCAGAACAGGTCATTGGCCTAAGATGACCCGGGTCGACATTTTGTTTTAGGAACATACTGCCTAGCGTAATCTTTGTCGCTTATTCAAATGCAAAACTCAGAGCAGTCTTGTATGATTTTGGTCACCATGACCTTCAAAAGGTCAAACAAGGTCACTGACCTCAAATGGGCTTGTGACTTTCTGCTTTAAAAAATTGCCTGGATTCTGGGAGCACCTTAGAGACCAAACTGAAATTTGACCTTGTTTGACTTTATTTGACATGAAGGTCATAACCTAGGAAGCTCAAAGTTGGACTAAGTGAGTTCCGGTGTGGATCAAATCACCCTGCAAATTTGGTGTCTCTAGCTTTCCTAGTTCCCGAGATTTCAGGGGGAGGGGGGGGGGGGGGTAAATGGACCCCCCACCCGAGCGAAGGGTATCTAACCTGCCGCCCGGGCGCATGTCAATCCAATTTTATGCCCGGGCACCGAGCCGCGGTGTCACCCGCAACGAAACAAAGAAGGCGCAAAGAAACGGGTTTCGGCGGGAGAGACTGCGAAGGTGTCAGGAAAGGCGGCGCTGACAACGGCAGCAACGGCAACGCAAAGAGTGTCCGTTCAATGGTTTAGTGATCATCCTATCGGTACATGAGAGCATTAAATGCACGTTTTGCGCATCGGTGCTGTTGCCAAGGCGATTACGGTCAAATACGTGACAAATGAACCCTGACTTGGCTCATCATTGATGATACAGATCAGTCTGTCTGAAAACAGGGCGGTCGATCAATCAGAGGAGATTTACAAGGGCAGGAAGATGGTGTCCAACATGGACCTAGCTGAAAAGTCCAGGTGGCCCCATGCAGGCCCCAAATGGGCCCCAGGCGGGCTGCCTATGTGGGACCCAGTTGGTTGTTTCTTGACAAGCCACATGAAACCGAGGTGGGCAGCCCAGATGGTCCCATGAGACTGCCTCTTCTGAACCACATCGGTCCAAGTCGGGTGTATTTGCTGGAATGCCTCTGCGTGGACGGCTAGGTCAAGTGTTAATGCCCACGCTGCTCCAGCGGGCTGACGCAGCCACTGCCTGTCACATACAAAATTGACGGAAGGGCATAGAAGGTGTCGGACATCGTTCTCCATCAATAGAAGTTTTTGTATATTTGCCCTTTCAGCTTCTGCAATTTTGCAGAAGCTGCTTCGCAGCGCAAAGCATAGGACAATAATTGATCAAAGTCGTTGACTTTGTTCTGCTCTTTTGCTTCCCTCTTTGCTACTTACTACCCTGCCTTTTTAATTTGAATTTTTATAGGTTTTGCTGAAAAATGGTACAATATTGCAAGTTAGCAATGAGAGTAAATTTGTGTTTTGGAAATGATAAAACATGAAATTCATGCCTGTCAGATATCAAGCTTGGTACCATATCAGACCAGTGTATTACTCAGCTGCTCAAAACGCCTTTGTGTACAAATCAAGAGACGCAATTTCCACATCCTTGTGAACTCGGAAGGCGTGTGCGCGGGGCGATTATGGCGGACGATGGGCCTGACTCGAAAAATCAGAAAAAGTCCGCAAAACATGACAGTGGTGCGGCAGACCTAGAGCGGGTTACAGACTATGCTGAAGAGAAGGAAATTTCGTCTGATATAACGGGGGTAAGGATGATAAATTTCATGTGGAGGTGCGCCGCTTTTGTCAGTCCCTCGATCAGCATTATGCGCATAGTGCGGGGACAGGTAAAGGTAATAGTTAATTACCAGTGATGTTTGAACCATATCATTGATGCTGTTTTTCCCATTTAAGAAGTCATCTGATAAGATATTCATACTTTTTGGAATAAATGCGAGAATAGTCATGAACTGGCCCTTGTCTCCTGCTGAAATACCAGGTCAGACTTTTTATAGGCCTTGGAGTCATTGTTCCCAAACTCTGATTATGTGTGGAGGCAGTAAATGCCAAAAATTGTTATGACACCTTACCATCCATGTGTCAGTCAGCAGAAACTAGTATTTTCAAAAGATGGCAGACCATTCTGCAAGGTGTGCCAGCCTGCAAAAAATACATCTGACCCAGATGCCCGCATGACATTGGTGTATATGGCCTGGTGCTGGCATGTACCGAGCGTGGACCAGGACATGTTGGGATGAATTTTTCAAAGCGTTTAATCCCCAAAATGTTTGCTAGTAGTAGTGTATATAATCCCCTTGTCAGCATCACAAGTCCTTGAAATAGTGGATTTATTCACTGAAATTAGTGGCACAGTGCATTAAGCCCCGGAATCAGCTGTGCACATGCACACTGAAGGTTTTGCCGCAAGCTCTGCAAGATTCCAGGCATAAGATGTGGACTTAAAGTAAACATATAAGGTGTGGGCTCAATGTGCATTTTAAGTGTGGAGTATGTGGGATAGGTCTGATCGTTAGCCCCAGTTATATTCTTTGCGTGGGAAGGGGGTGAGCAGTCTCCCGGATTATTAGCCAGAGTGAAAAAATGCATGCTTCTCAAGACATGTCTGGTGTAGCCATGACATTGGTGCAACAATGTTAACATGTGCACAGGCGGCCAGCTAAACACCCTTCGCTCAGGTGGGGGGGGGGGGGGGGGGGGGGGTCAATTTGACCCCCTGAGATCTTGGGAACTAAGAAAGCTAGAGATACCAAATTTACAGGGTGTATTGACTTGTATGTGAACTTGCTTATGTCAAAGTTTCAGGTTCCTAGGTGATGACCTTCAGGTCAAAAAAGGTCAAACAATGTCAAGTTCCCAGGTGGTCTCCAAAGTGCCCCCAGAACCCAGATAACTGTTTCTAAGCAAAATGTCATATGCTCATTTAAGGTCAGTGACCTTGTTTGACCTTTTGAAGGTCAAGGTGACCAAAATCATACAAGATTGCTTTGAGTTTTGCATTTGACTAAGCAAAAAAGATTGTGCAAGGCAGTATGTTCCCAAATAAAGTGTTGGCCTGGGTCATTTTAGGTCAGTGACCTATTCTGACCTCTAGGATGTCCATGGATGATGTATAATGAGGTTCCTGCTATCAATAAATTTGAAATGAGCACAGCACCAGAAACTATCCCATACAGCAAGGTGTAGAGTAACAAAACAGGTTGGTTTTGATCTTAGTGTGACCTTCATACCTGACATTAGGTTGATTTAATATGCTCATTCAACTGTTGTGTTGCCTAAGAAAGCATCTCAGAGATGTATGGCTTCATCTAACACTCCATTGTTGGATTAGATTGAGGGATTCCCTGGAAGTTGCTTTTGCTGAAGCCATGGCCTGACTGACCTGCAATAGGTCAGTGACCTTACAAGGTGCATCTACCTTTTTATGCCAAACAACCTGCTATTCAATTGTCTACAGCTATGCAAAATCTGGTGTAGCTATGCCTTGCCATTTGGAAACCATTCTGGAAAGACCTTTGGGGGGGAGGGGGTAATTCGGCCCCCCACCCGAGCGCATTAACATATGTATGTCATGAATTTTGCCACAATCCTGCCAATCCTATCACAATGCCTGTCAGGGCAGGGAATGTCTATCACAGCATATGCACATCTTGAATTCTGCCACAATCTTGCCAATCTTGCCACAATGTCTCAGGGCAGGGAACATATCTATCACAGCAAGCTACAACAATTTAATCACATGTACACCATAAACCCCAATGCTCCGTGGTTTCAGTGCATGGTTGCATCCAATTCCACCACAGAGGTAGTGTTGTAACACATTGTAAAAACAAGTGTTGGCTATGTTGTTAAAATAATTATTGTCCAAAAGGTCTTAACATATCTTCACACAAATACCATTTGGTAATTTAGTGCAATTTGGCCTGGTGGGTGCATGCAAACATGAGGTTCAGTTCACTGATCTCAATTAGGTGACCAGCCTAGTAGATCTGTTGCAGACTTTTCACAGACCTGTCATAGACCTGTCACAGACTTAGAGGTTTTGCAGACTGGTTTATGTGGATGTTAGTGTTATCTAATTTGGTCATAGGTCAATCTTAACCTTTGAATGCCATGGTCCTGCATTGTGATTGTCCATGATGCCCTTTTAGGTGAAACTTGTCGATGCAAGTTAGAAATATTAGATGCAAAGTGAAGTGATAATCATGAAAGGACCTTTTCAGGCTGTTGCTACAATTGGAGAAAGACGAAGAAAGGAGGCACAGGAGAAGATGGAACGAGAAATAGAGCTTGCCAAGGTTCCAATCAGGAAAGATGATGTGGAACTGATTGTAAGTTATGCCAATTTTATGCATATGCATGTGTTGGCCTGCTATATGTGCTGTCTAGATTGTGGCATTGGCTGTCACTGTATCCTTGTTTTGATGCTGTTCTGATGCTTCATCTTATGGGCATTTTCTGCACACAGTATGTTTTAAAGTCATGGATAGATAGCATTCAGTGTTTAGAAAGACCACTTGGCCTGTATGCCCCAATACCTTTTTTTGTTTGTTTGCCTATGGGTGTTTAAACCAACTGGATGCATCATGCCAGGTACAAGTCTGGGATGTGGCTGGCTAGCACTTGACCTCTTTGAGTATATTGGTGTGGTTTTTGAACAAATGAATGGGAAATTAATATGCATTTTTTATTTTGTTTAGTCATCTCACCTAATTTTAGCACCCATATCATTATTGACCAGGTTTATGTGGAAAATGTACCATGATCATAGCATGGCAGAAATACAGAATATTGAATAAAATACTGGGTTTTGCCTGAAGAGAGTAAAGCCATCTGTCAGTAAGTCTTCTTTGGAAAGTGGCAGCAATTTGTGTTCTTTTAGCTGAACAGCCAACAGCTTAATTACATGGAGTTCTTGTTCTGTTGTGCTTATGCTGGTCATGCTTATGCCGTTACATGTTTGACTGACAATGTTATGGGTGCCCCTGGCCAAATTATGCCTTACAAACTTATTCACACTGCAGGTGTGATAGTAAAATTTTCATGTCATGAGGATGAAAAACCAAAGTACACAGGCTAATATATCCCCTGTTTGCATTATCTTTGTCCAATGTTATCATCAGGCTCATGTTGAGCTGTCGTGAAATATGGGATTGGGACATGCCCATTCAGCTCCCCAGTTCCTTTGGCTGTGGAGGAAACAGTCAACAGATGCCCAGAAGTTAAGGTGGAAAAGGGGGAAGTTTGAAGTGTAGCAGGAGAGCATGCTCACTGTCATGATGTGACTCAAAACAATAAGATGCCATTGGGGGATGCCAAAGCATAGATGTACTCAGCCTGTAAAAGTATGTGTTTGCCAAGTGCCATGATGCCTGTGTAGCTTGAAACTTTAGGTTGGTCAGGAGACCAGGACTGTACCCAGCACTGGTCTGACCTGATTGCCCAGTTTGTTGGAGCACCTGCCTTTTGATCCATTCCCCATGGTGGGGTGGGCTTGAGTCACATTACATGCCTGCTCTTTGCCCCTGACAGATATGGGCTGTGGGCAGTGGCAGCGGCCACAGTGAAGATTAGTTGAGGGTAGAGAGTAGGACGGACTGCTGAGCAAAGCGGCACATTAAACTTAGCCACCAAAATTCTGCCATTGACCTGGAATAACATGATCTGATGGCAGGGGTAGGGCTCACACAACAAGGACTGTTAAGCATCATGCTGTTGACATTGCAACAATACCAGATCTCCACTTGAAAGAGAGAGGAAAATGGGGACATGTTTTTGTGAAGCTGGTTGCATCGACAGCCCTGTAGAGCTAACTTGGTTTTCTGGAAAGGTCAGGATGTAGTTACATGCCATAAGCCAATTAAGTTCCAACAGTGGATAATGTAAATGGGCGCCATGTGTTGTATAAACACCTCCTTTACATGGTCGAATGCTATTTGACAGGCTGTGAAAGGGTGCGAGCTGGTTGCCAGGCAGCCTCAGCAGGCTGGTGAACACCACCATAGTCACCTAGTGTTTCCTATAGCTCTCATTTCATCAGTCGCATTTGAGATGAGTTGGCATCATTACAGAACCAAGTGGGTAATGACAAATTAGCCAGATTTGCAAAGAGTTTCCACATGCTCGGTGTTGCCACCAACAATGCAAGCAGATCACCTGATCCACAGGTCGGAAAACAGAGAAACATTTTGCTTATAATTGGCTGGCAGGATGACAGAATGTTTTAACAGTAAGGGAAGTCAGGGTATCAGACTCAGGTAGCATGTGTCACAGCTGTTGTGTGGTCAGTTGTATTAGGACCCATGTCTCATGTGGCACTTGACTGCCTGGTCTTGACCTGGATAAGCTAAATGTATGATTATGGTGTGTACAAATTGACAATGCATGATACAAGCAGAAATATCAAGTGCAGACAATAAAGGGTAGCCAAGAGTGTGCTTTATCTTTCTACAAACATCTGCTAAAACAACAGTGAGCCCCATCTGGACACAATCATTCTTTCTTTAAAAAGTACATGCAGTCGATCCGTTTGTATTGGTAGTGCATGTTTGTACATGGTTGGTCGTCGCCAAAAGTCAAGCAAAAACATTACCCACCAGATGCTCTCCCCCCAAAAAGATTGGTCCTTGGCAAATACCATGTGTTTGAGGATCGAATACAAGAGCGTCTTGACTTTGGTCACCCAAGATTTGTTAAGTTTTTCATTAACAAGTGAAATATACAAATGAACTGGAGAATTGACAGCAAGATCTCTGTGTAATCCTCTGTAAAATGACAAGTTCACAAACAAGTAAAAGGAACAAATGAATTGGACAAGTGACAAGATCCATGTGAAATGTTCTTCCCTCTATGAATACCCGAACAGTGTCACTTCGGACACCATGTTTTGCATGCATGGGGAGCCCACAGCGCACTTCCTTCTCTGTAATCCTCGATGCAGCCTGAGCGGTGTTCGTTGGTGCTGGCGTTGTGTTACTACCGCTCGGCCTCGTGTCCCGACTCCGCGCCTTCCGCCGTCGGTGCGGGCGTGGCCTGCCGGTCGGTGGCCAGTGCCGGGCCGCCGGCGACGGCCGCCGCCCGGAGCCGCGGCCGACTGCGCGGCGGTGCGCGCTGGTGGCCGTCCGGTGGGGCAGCCGCTCCGCCACGCCCGGCACGCACGACACGAGCCGGGCCGGGCCGGCGTGCGCGGGCGGACGGAAGGCTCGTCGCGGGCTCACGTGGTGCGTGCCGCCGGCAGGGCCCGCTCGATACGGCCGGCGTGGCGGAGGCGGTGCTCCAGTGGCTCACCGACAACAAGATCCACCACACGGTGTTCGCGCGCACCGTGCTCGGCTGGAACACGGCCTTCACTCCGTTGCTGCGCAAGCCCGTGGCGTGGGCCGAGGCCGATCGTGCGCACGCGCAAGGCCTACCAGGCCATGCACGGCTGGATGCAGCGGCCGCACCAGGAGCGACTGAACACGGTGCGCGAGAAACAGGAGCAGATGAACCGCAAGCGGCGCACCGAGAGCACACAGAAGGACCGGCGCCGCGCGCCGCTGCTGCCGGGTGCGCGGCCGGCGCCTCTCGGCGGCGACCCGATGGCGGGGTTCGGCGGCGAGATGCCGCGGCCGGCCGGCTATGGCGGCCTCGAGCTGGCGCCGCAGCACGTCTACGGCGGCGAGCTGGGCGCAGCGCCGGCCGGCTACGGCGACGAAGACCTGTCGCAGCCCGAGTTCGCGCTGGTGGACGGCGTCGGTCAGCCGCAGCCGCCGTACGGATACGGCCTGGCCGAGGCGGCGGCGGCGCCGCCGCAAAGCCGGCCCGCTGCCGCCGCCCCTCTTACCGCGACACGGTGCAGCAGCTGGCTGGCTTCCCGGACCGGCCGCCGCCGCTCTACAGCGCCCCGCTGCCCGGCTACGAGGAGCTGAGTCGCGGCTACGCACCGCCGCCGCCGCCGCCGGCCCGCGCCTGCCGTCACCTTCGCGCAGCTGCCGGCCGGCGGCGAGGCGCTGCCGGAGCGGGCCGGCGGCGGCGGCGGCGCGGCGGCCCCAGTGCTCGAGCCACCCTCGCCGCCGGCCCTGATGAGCGCGCCCGACAGCCGGACGCCGCGCGTGCAAATCAGCCCGCTGCAGCGGCGCGCGCTCGTCGACATCTTCCGCGTGACGGAGAGGCCGTCGCCGTCCATGCGTCAGCTGATCGCCACCTCGCTAGACCTGCCGGCGCGCACCATCAGCAACTTCTTCAGCGCGGCGCGCACGCGCGGCATCCGCAAGCTGGTCGGCCCAGAGTCGCACGGCAAGGAGAACCTGGTGGACGGCTTGCCGTGAGCGCGAGGCGAGCGGACGCTGCGTCCGCTCCACTTCCCTCGGCTTCCCAGAAGTGCCTTCGACCAACGTACAAATGTAGCGCATATTCTTGCGAGGACTGTGCCTTTTACGAGCCCGCGTGCCTTGTGAACGGTGATTGGGCGGCAGACGCAATACGTGAAACATGTGGCCTTTTTACCCGGCTCCCGTTCATACAGATCTTTTCTACTTAAGCTATTTTGGTACCCATGATATTGTGCAGCGTTGTCTTCCACCTGCTGTGCATCCGATGACCAGCTGTGAGCGGGCGCCGGACGGGGCGGCCCGCGTGTTTGCCGTGTGTATGCGCTCTCCTGTGACGGGCGTGGCGTGCGACGACCGCAGCCCGTGCCGAATCTCAGCGGCGTGCGCTGTTGGAGAGAGACGTTACGTCGGACGCGCCCGGCTGTTACCGAACTGACTGTGCCGTTTGGGTCGAGTTCGCGCCGCTGTTCTGCGGACAGGCCCTCGATCGCGCGCGCGCGCGTGTGTGTGTGTTTGTGTGTGTGTGGCCGATGAGCGTGGGGTGCGCTTGCCGCCGCGGTGTGCCGTCTGCATCTGCACCTGGGCGGGGTCTGAGGTCGCCCGGTCGGTTCGGAGTGCGCTGTATAGTGCCACCGGGGGGGGGGGGGGGGCTGCTGCCAGCGCGGCTGCGCGGGCGGGCTGACACAGCTGACAACTGACACAGCTGGCAACTTACACAGCCGACAACTGACACAGCTGGCAACTTACACAGCCGACAACTGACACAGCTGGCGACTTACACAGCCGACAACTGACAAAGCTGACAACTGACGCAGCTGTGCGGTGCTGACGCGGTGGCGCGGTCGACAGCAGCCCCTGAGGGGTCGTGGCGGGGTGGCGCGCGTCGGCCGGCGGAAGAGATCATGGCAGGCGACGATTGCCGTGTGGCCGGCTGCATTCTGCCGATGCTGGGTGCCGATGTCCCGGCGCTGACCGTCTCGGTCCGTGGGTGTCCATAAGTGAGCGGCTCAGACTGCCAGGCGTCGGTGACACACACTTGGCGTGTCTCCTGTAGACGGGAGGTGCATGGTACCGGGAATCGGGTGTGGAAATAAAGGCATTCGAGGCGTGTGTAGAAACGAAAAGACTCGAGTTTCTCTTTTGGCACGAGCACGATTAGTCTCCACGAGGCCTCCATGGCTGCTAATGGAGAGGTTTCCCTGGGTAGGACATGTATATGTGTTGTTATTGCCGCATTTTATTTGTTACTCCGTGTATGAATGCGCGTTACTGTCCCCATGTCCTTCCCCGGGATACACGCGCGTGCCGTGCTCGTGCTGAAGTGCGTATTGAGATAAGCTTGTACAGTCGTGTTAACCTTCCGTCGTTAGTGTTGCCGGTGTTGGACCGCAGATCCTGGCATGCCGTCCCCTGTACATTTCTGGGCGGTTGGGCATTTATATTTTCCATAGGTCTGACATGATGCGGTGCTGCCCACAAGTAGCACCTACCTGATCAATAGACTTGTACTATTTGAGAGCATTTTTAATTAAATCAAATTGGTACCGCACTGTCCTCGAAAGGGCTGGGGCAGTTTGGGGTGTTGCTGCCTTATATGGCTGTCGGGCCGACATAGGGATGGGGTGCACAGGGCCGGTGACTATAATCCGTGCAACATCTTAGCAACACCCGGCAGTCCTGTTGGGGGGGGGGGGGGGGGGGGGGCTCTACACAACAGGCACACTGTTGGATCAGATCGGTTAGTTGCGGGACACCGAGGCTGATTTTCATGGTCCTTGTGATGTCACAAAGTGCCTACATCATTCTGGGTGGTACTGTTGAAGGAAAACATGCTGGATGAGGTCGGCTGTGGTTGTTCTGGGCATCGTCATGTGTCTTCCCAGTTTTTCATCCTTTGGCGACTGTGCCGCTGCGTATAATTGAGTGATCGTAAGCCATCGGGGTATTCTTGTTTTGCCCCACGACAAAACAGTGAAGACTAAGTCTGGAGGCTAAGGAATTTTAGTTGAGCTTTGAAGACTAAGCATTGTCCCATTTTGAGCAGCTTCTGTGAGGCGCGAAATGCATGCACCGCCAACGGCCCGTGCGGTTCGAGTTTTCCTTTGCTTTGCTTGTTGCTGCTGCAGGGCAACCTAATGAATCGACGGAGAGCAAATTAGCAGCTTGCGCAGTTCTACGTCACAACCCAGCGATATAATTTAGACTGATGCGCCCGAATATGAATTTAGCTATGATATATGACTCACTGCCGGTTGCGCCGCTGTCCGTCGCCCGTGACGTGTACCACTTAGCGCAACGCGCTTTGTACCGTTGTTGGATCGCGTCCCGTAAGCTTGTGAGCCGAAAGCTGCGGTCCACCGATTCATCCTGTTAGTCAATGGGTTAAACAAAGAAGCAGCAAAGTCAGTCCTTTCCAATTCCTGCGGTTACCCAGCGCGCTTCGAAGCAAGCATGACAGCCGCGACGCCGTCTGATGGCGTCGGCGCGGGCGGTGCGGGGTGACCCCGTGACCTGCGGCCGCGCGGTGACCGGCCGCCGCCCGTCTGTTACAGATGACCGAGATGGAGATCGGGCGGCCCCGCGCCGAGCGCTGCCTGCGCGAGCACCACGGCGACGTCGTCAAGGCGCTCGTCACGCTCACCCAGTGACCGGCTCCGCCCGGGCGCTCTGCGAGTGTGCGCGTGTGAGTGTGGCCACCCCTGTCTGTTCATCATCGAATACACGTCATCGGTCCGCGCCTCGGAACGGCGTGTATTGAGTCGAGGCGACCGGACGGGCGGTCTGTACGAGCGACACTAGTGCGGCCGCCCGTTAGACGGCCGGCCCGGCCACAGGAAGCGCGTCACATCACGTCACGTTACATCACGTCAAGTCACATCACGTCGCGTCACGTCACGTCACGTCACGTCACGATGGCCGCCAGCCAGCGAGCTGACCGCCGCAACGGAAACGGATGGGTGACATGGAACACAACGGCGGATGGACCATTGTGTACTGATCGTCGCTGTCAAAATCAATGAGCCGCGGTGGTTTTGTTCTACAACAAACAGTGGCCACGGGAATACTACTCGGGGGCAAGGGTCGGCTGTCTTCGGAACGAAGGCGTACACATTACAGGCGACACACGTCCCAGCGTGATCTGCCGCAACACGAGCATAGAACGAACACCGCGGAATGGCAAGACAGCTGCACAGTTTGATCCCATGGAGAAGAATACATGGTGTGCCGCAGCGCAGGGCCGGCCGGCGGTCCCCAGTAAGACGGCACGTCTCCACCAGGTCGACACAGTCTGCCGATCCTGGCCTGCGCGCGCGGCCGCTGCGGCCACCGAGCTCCGGCCGCCCGCCGCTCGGCAGCGACGTAGAACCGTCGTCCTGTCCTCTGCTCCCGTCCGAAACACTGCGTCCCATTGCACCGATCACTTGATAAATCAGGTACCACTGATTGCCGCAGATAACACGGCTCACCAGGCATTGCCCGTGGCGCGGCGGCGGGTTCGTGCCGCCCCGCCAGCCTCGCACGTCCCGCCAACGCTCGACGCCTGCGGGATTGCACACACGAAAGTGCCGCCGCGCCCTCCAGGGGCCGACGGCGCTATCACGAAGTATGGCTGCTCAGGAGATCCGGTGGACGGTGCGCCGCTACCAGCCGTCGTTGGCGATGCGCCCGCCGTCCAGCGGCGTACTGGAGCCGGGCGACGAGACGAACGACGACGGGCCCGCTGATGCTCAGACCTGCGGCCGCGGCCGGGCCGTCAGCGGTGCGGCTGACGAAGGGAGCGAGCTGGCCCACACCGCGCGCCACGGGAGCTGACCCACACCGCGCGCAGCGGGAACCGGTCCACATCGCGCACCGCGGGCGCTGGCCCACACCGCGCGCCACGGAAGCTGGTCCACACCCGCGCGCTGCGGGCGCTGGCCCACACCGCGCCGCGCGAGCTGGCCCACCCCGCGCGCCACGGGAACTGACCCACACCGCGCGTCGCGCGAGCTGGCTCACACCGCGCGCCACGGGAGCCGGCCACACCGCGCGCCACGGGAGGTGACCCACACCGCGCGCCACGGGAGCTGGCCCACACCGCGCGCCGCGCGAGCTGGCCCACACCGCGCGCCACGGGAACTGACCCACACCGCGCGCCGCGCAAGCTGGCCCACACCGCGCGCCGCGGGAACTGACCCACACCGCGCGCCAAGGGAAACTGACCCACACCGCCACGGGAGCTGACCTACACCGTGCGCCACGGGAGCTGACCCACACCGCGCGCCATGGGAGCTGACCCACACCGCGCGCCACGGGAACTGATCCACACCGCGCGCCACGGGAGCTGACCCACACCGCGTGCCACGGGAGCTGGCCACACCGCGCCCTCCGATCCGAACACAGCCAGCAATCCCAGTCCAGCGCCACCGGCGACCGGCTGCAGTGTCAACACGGCGCGGCGCCGCCAGGCGATACAGCTCTAACAGGTGTCTATAAGTCAGTGCAGCGCTCACTCTGAGCAATACTCGCATGCATGTGAAAGGCGAATCTGAGAGGATGAAACCAACAAAAGACCTTGCAAAGATCGCGGGCCCGGATGCTCAGTCATACGCAAGCACGCACGTGCCCTCCCCTCCCTTCTTCTCCCCCCCCCCCCCCCCGGCCATCGTGCCAAGCAGCGTGCGACCGCTGCTACTGCCAACTGTCATGCTGTCTGGCGAGGCAGTACCTGCCCTCTAGCTGTACACGACAGAGACGCCCGAGGTGGCAGGTGGAGCACCGCCGCCGACTCACTCTGGGTGGGCGAGTGGAGGGCCAAAGGTGGCGGGTGGACCGCGTGGCGCCGACGGCTCGGTCGGCGTGCGGAACTCCATCGAGGTCACGCGGTCGATGAAGGCGTTCACCTGGCGCAGCGACATGGCGTTGTGCAGCGTCTCCAGCGGCCGGATGGACGGCACGCCGCCGCAGCACCTCGATACCTGCCGACCGGACCGCCAAGCACGCGGCGTCACACCGAGACGCGAGGCCTGGTGCCACGCGGAGACCCCCGCGAGACCGCGAGACCGGATTCCACACACACACACGCAACGCACGCACGCACGCACGCACGCAGCACACGCACGCACGCACAGCGCACACACACACACACACACACACACACAATACACACACACACACACACACACCACACACACACACACACACACACACACACACACACACACACAGCACACAGCACACACACACGCACAGCACAGCCACAGCACAGCACAGCACAGCACAGAACAGCACAGCACCACAGCACAGCACAGCACAGCACAGCACAGCACAGCACGACAGCACAGCACCACGACCGACGCACAGCAACCACGTCGCGGTGCGGGTCGCGCCGCCGCGTCGCCCGGCACGTCTCACCGATGGCCGTGACGGGCGTGAAGAGCGACTTGAGCTCGGGCGCCGACGACGAGCCGCTGATGACGGCCGTCGAGAAGAGCGAGCTGCCCGAGCCACCGGGCGCGCCCAGCTGCAGCTGCTGGTTCAGGATCGACAGCTGCTGCGCGTACGCCGTCTGCGAGGGCACCGAGTGCCGCTGCCGCCGCAGCTCTGCCGACCGGCCGGCTCATGTCAGGTCAGGTCAGCGTTGTCTGTGCGCAACACGGCTGGCAGGGACGCGGCGGCGTCGACTAACCGACAGCCAGGCAAGGAAAGTACCACTACCGCCCTAGCCGGCAGGGGCACGACAACGAGCAGCCTCAGGTGACGAGAAGGGCTCCGGACGCTGTGCGACACAATACCGGGGACGTCCTGCTGCCCGTCACAAAAACCGGCCCGCTGACCGCACCGGGGAGGGTCCGACGCTAGGCGCAGAACGGTCCCAGACTCGTGACGTCAGGGCGCGGGGCCTCCACAGTCGGCGCTGCACCTGCCGTAGACGTCCCGCTATTCCAACTGGGGGCGTGCGGTTGCCAGAAATTTCGTCGTAGAGTACGGGCTGAAGAGTTAACTGCAGCCCGGTGACTGAGCCCAGCCGTCTGCTGCGCTCCATCCATGCACGTGTTACACGCTGCACAAGGGCGGCCCGCCGGCGTGGCGGGCGCCGCGCCGGTGGCATGCAGCGGCTGACGGCGGGGGACGCCGTCTTACCTTCGTCCTCATCGTCCAGCTCGCCCGAATTAAAGCCATCTGTTGGCGGGCAGATAAACTAATGTTAGTCACGCCATCTGCTGGATGGGGCGGCGAGCGACCCGTCTCGCCGCGCTCCGCAGGCCAGTCCAGGCGCACAGGCACGACCGAGGTCAAAGTCTGCGCAGTTCCAAACGCCAAACTGGTTAATCGGCATTCAGAGGTTTGACGGGAGACGACACAACGAGGCTGTTTTCGACCGATCGGACAGTGGGCGCCGATGCACATGCTGAGAGGACGGGCTACTCCCATGACAATTCTGCGGGGTATCCAGCAGGGACGGCACGAGAGGTTTCAACGAGAAAGGTGCTGCCCGAACGAGGGAGGCTACGACTTTAAACTAAGACGTCTGGGAAACAGGCTAACACCTGCCTATTCATAGGAAACCCACATTATCAGGTCAACAGGCGACTAATTTAGGGACACACAACATTCCAGGCAGTTTACGATATACTTCAGACTACGGATATCTCCAGAATACGCCACGCTGCAGACACCGCGGCATTTAGATTGCTTTTCAGAGCCGAAAGGTGGCGATACCTCTTTACGTAACCGCGGCTTTTGAGCACAGCTGTAGTGACAGCCATGCCTTCCACCGTGTGTTGTGCGCCCCAGGGGATAGACGGTCATTTCTGCGCCGTCAGCATGAGCAAGCACTCTAGAGATACATTGGGAATTATACAATTTGAGCCTGAGTTATCATAGGAATACAGTTTTCTTCTGTATTCTTCTGACAGTAATATTTCACAAATTCGGTGCCAAAGCGTTGTAAGTTAATTTTCTCCAGAGCAAGGAGAGAAACAAGCAGAGAGAAAAAACGCATTTTGGCTGTTGCAACGTAGTTAGAGAAAAAAACGTCCGAGCTAACCAGTGGGAAGTTGACAAGTTGGTCCTAAACGAGTGCGACTTACACACGAAATTAAAAAGACGGTTGTCCTATTTCCACGCCTAAACGTCCCACAAACAACTACAACCGCTTCCCAAACCGCGCGCATCTTTCATGACACTGTACAAAGCACACAAATTAAGCAGGGCCGTCACCTAAAGCCTGCAAGACGCACCCGTGTGTATGCGTGTGAGCATGTATGTGCAGGGGGAGGGGGCGGTGGACTGCCAGCGTCGACTGATCTCCGGCCACGAGGGGGGGGGAGGGGAGGTGGGGAGGCGGAGCTCTGACCTGGCCTGGCCGGCGCCGGCTCCACACGGCCGCGTTCCACCAGGCCCTCGAGGCTGCGCGGCCGCTCCTCGGCGCCGGCGCGCCGGTCCGGCGAGCCAGGGTGCGAGCACGAGCGGAACAGGTCCTGCTGCGGCGGCGAGAGGTGCGACGGCGAGGTGGCGCACCGGCTGAGCACGCCAGCCCGCCGGCACACACGGGTCAGAGACGGCCGCCGCCAGCCGCGCACACGACACGCCCGGCCCACACACCAGACAGCGGCCAGCAGGGCGCCAACACGTGACCCGCTGAAGACACACACACACACACACGTGCGCGCGCACCGGCACTGACATCAGCGGCGGCGCTGGCGGTGGCCTATCGCCGCCAGCCACGTCGTCCTCGACACGTCGACGCCGTCCTACGCCGCAGGCAGCCGCGATACCCCGCTAGAGATACGAACACCAGAGCCGCGCTCGGAGAGGCGGCCCACGGTGGGGCGGCCCGACCGACGGCGCGGCTCACCTAATGGCGATGGGCTGAGAGGGCGGCGGCCGCTGGTTGCTGCAAGGGCCCGCCTGCAAGCACGACACGTTAGCGTCACCCCACCACCGCCAGCTGCATCAAGCAACAGCATCTGAGATGGACGCAAGGAAGCGAGTTGGGCATCGACAAGTCGCATTTGATACCGAACGTTAAGGCCATGAGTCCCTGGCCCCACCTGCGCTCCGGCTAGCATGTCCCTCACCCTACCTGCGCCCCGGCTAGTGCGTCCCTCACCCTACCTGCGCCCCCCTAGTGCGTCCCTCACCCTATCTGGGCCCCGGCTAGTGTGTCTCTCACCCTACCTGCGCCGGCTAGTGCGTCTCACCCTACCTGGCCCCGGCTAGGGCGTCCTCACCCTACCTGCGCCCCGGCTAGTGCGTCCTTCACCCCAACTGCACCCCGGCTAGTGCGTCCCTCACCCTACCCGCGCCCGGCTAGTGCGTCCCTCACCCTACCTGCGTCCCGACTAGTGCGCCCCTCACCCTACTGCACCTCGACGGCCGCCTCCGGCTCGGAGCCGCTCTCGATCGTCTCGCCGTCCTCCTCCTC